CATCGCCCTGATGACGGAGGCAGTATGACCTCTGAAACGTTGGTTAACATCGACCAGACTACACAGCGCAATAACCCAGAAGACGGATATCTTCATCCAATTTGTTATTTTATTACACCGAGTGTCATGTAATAATGTTGTAGCTGGTTCCAAGTACGCACAGACAGGGATGTTTGAAGTGACAAAAGCTGAAGAAGAATGTCAAACCACTGGAAGTCCTCCCCCGTCACCTGGAGCTGGTGCAGGTGTAGTACCTCCGAAGTCAAGTTCTGCACTGCGAGTGACTGTACCCAGTGAGCTGCAGGGTGTTGCATATATTGAAGTGCTCTGTCAGAAAGGTTGGTGTCAGCTCTCCAGTATATTTTAGAAGAATTTTTTATACATATATTTATTTTTCACAGTCTATACACAAACTTATTTAAAATAATGTTGTTAAAATATTATAACATTTACAGTATAAATTATATTATGTTATATTTATGGCGCTCCTCTATCGTAGTACGACATTACATTATTCGGTGCTTTTATTTTTGAACGACATGTTTCGATACAAATTGAAGAGTTTTTTGTTATCTTTTCCTTCAATTTATCTTTTTTTCCTTTTCTCCTAATTCTTCACCATCTTTGATTTCTTACACTGGGACACTTTTCATTTTCATAGATTTTGTGTTCTCATATTTCATAACTGTCCATACCAGTCCCCTTTCTTCTGATGTTTCTAAGTCTTGCATACAATACGAGGTGCGATCGGAAAGTTTCAAGACTGCGCCTATAAAAACCCGTACACTTATCTCAGGTATTAAATTCATCCATCACCCTTGAAGTAGTTCCCCTGGGAGTGAACCCAACGATCCCAGCTCCACTGCCAAGCCTGGAAGCATCCCTGGAAATCTTTTTTATACGCGCAGTCTGGAAACTTTCTGATCGCACCTCATAAATTAGTAGTTTTAGCCATTTGTGTATGTTTTAACATTTTGTTTTCTGTATTATTATTCTACCTGTTGTTTCTCTCACTCTTGAGAGAAATGGGTTTTATGTAAATTGGATTCAGCTGGCTGAAGGTGCGGTGTAGCTGTGGGTTTTTATAATGGTTTTGGTGGTAAATCTTCTGGTTTACCACTGAATTGTAACTGTGAATTGCTACAGGAATGTATTTTATCATATAGATAGTAAGTTACTTTTAAAATAATATGTAAATTTACTGAGTGTGTTGACACACTGACAGTATGTCTGATTATTATTTAGAAGATGCCTGGTTTGAAGCATCACTGTGTACTTGCAATCCGGATAGATTTTTTGTGGCTTTTCTTTGGTGTATCCGGGATAATTTCTTAAGAAATGCTAAAACCTCCTTTTTCATCATCTTTGTAACATATCCCAGAAGTTGATAAAGCATTCTAAAATAACCAGTTAAATAAAATTAAGCAACAGATAAGCACAGTGATAAGTGTGAATGGTGTGTGTAGACCAGGAAGATCTGTGCAGCGCAACTATAAACCTACTGGGTTCGGGTCCAACTAGCACTAACCCTGACGTGCACTGGCAGCAGAAATTGGAGGCAGCACAGAATGTTCTGTTCTGCAAGGAACTGTTTAACCAGCTGGCAAAAGAAGCTGTTCAACTGCAGGCGCCTATCCCACATATGGTAGTTGGCAACCAGATCATGGCAACAGTAAGTAGCAGGATCAGTACCCAGGATTTTCATGTGCATTCTTTGTGATTATATTGCACATTACTTTCATTTATATAGACTTTCATCTTAGTGTTTGTTCACATAGAGTCTTCATTTTCATTTACTGCAGACTCATGTCTGTTTTTCTGAAAGCTGTCTGTCAGAATCATTTAGAATCTAAAAGATTTATTGTTTTGTATATCAAAGACAATTTCAATTGAAATAATGGAATTTATTTCAGCTTCAGTTCCAGTCCTAGTAAACACTTGGTTCTGTAGAACACAGTTGGAGTATCTGTGATACCTGACATAACTAACTAACTAGATGGCTTACCGAACCCGAAGGTTCATCACCGAATTAACCAAAGCCCTCCACCGGACCCTGTCCTGGGCCAACAAAATCCATTCTCCTTCAGCTCCTATCTCCCATAGATCCCGCCTGACATTATCCTCCCATCTACGTCTAGGTCTCCCCAGAGGTCTCTTCCCCTCAGGCTTCCCAAATAGTGGAACTAACTAACTAACTAGATGGCTTACTGAACCCGAAGGTTCATCACCGAATTAACCAAAGCCTTCCACCGGACCCTGTCCTGGGCCAAAAAAATCCAGTTTCTTTCAACTCCTATCTCCCATAGATCCCGCCTGAGATTATCCTCCCATCTACGTCTAGGTCTCCCCAGCGGTCTCTTCCCTTCAGGTTTCCCAACCAGTACCCGGTGCACACCTCTTGTCCCATCCATGCGCGCTACATGTCCCGCCCATCTCATTCTTCTCGACTTAATCACCCTCACAATACTGGGGGAGCAGTACAGATTTTTAAGCTCGTCAGTGATACCTGACATGCAAGTCATTAAGGTATCTTATTGCAGGTGCTGCCTGGAATCCAACTGATCATCGGCTTATGTCATAGTACAGGCACTGACAAGAAACCAAACCTGACACCTCCACAGAAATCTGAACATGATCATGTTTTGGAACACTCATTGCATCAACTTCTGCGTGAGGTACATCATAAGAACACACATCACCCGTTTCCTCACCCCTCTTCAGGGCCACTAGGCCCGAGCAAGAAACGGTGCTTGGCAGGACCAATGGCAGCTGACAGATATGAGCTACTGGAGATGACTAAGAGGTATTTATATGTAAGATTTGTGTTTTATTTAAAAATGTTGTAAGAAGATGTCTGGTTTTCTGTTATTTATTCTATTACAAGAAAATCTGAAAGGGTAACAATCTGAAATTAATGTTATCAAATACAAGTGTGTGTGCATACTAGCTGAAGCAGAGTTAGGTATTGATCATGTGTTAGTCTAAATGCCTTACATTATTTTTCATATAATGTTTGTGTAGCATTACCGAATGATTAGATCCAACATGTTTAAAGAGATTGATGTGGAATGAACGAGTTAGTCATGTTTGGAATTTCCTTTAGATTTTAATTTTGTGAACATGAACATTTCATGTTCTTTTATAAACAGGTGAGGTGGATGAGCTGGTACCTACATCTGAATATATAATGGTCTGGCACTGTTATGGCAATCAGAATTCTTAAATAAAATTTAAAAAAAAAATAGCATCATTACAAAGATCAATTGGTTAAAACTGTTAAAGTAAAAAAAATGTATTACATCAAGAAAATGCTGTCATATGAAGCAGTTGTTAAAATTGCTTGATCTAAATTAAAACTGAATTGCTTAGCAGTTTTCTTTAAAACTCCCTGATATTAAATTGTAAGAAAATCTGCATGCATTCAGATGAATGTAACGTTATCAATAGGCACTCTGCAGGGTTGCGAATGCACTTTAAAAATGTTTCACAACATTGGTAATGTGTAAAAGTGATTTCTGTCCCATAGACTGTTCAGTATATTGTGAAATCCTAATTTAAGGTTACTTTGGGAACAATAAACTGAAAAAGGCACCTGAAATGGAAAAAAAAATGTGGTATTGTGATTATTAAGTCGGGGGCATTGAAATTAATTCTTTAGTGACAGAGAATCTTAAATCAGTGAACATTAAATGATTAACTTTTGTTATATCTTATGTTGCAGCCAGACACTTTTGGAACAGATAATTCAACAGGCCCAACATTTCTTTATGCGTCTCCGCACAGAATACGTGTTGGATACAATTGCAAAGGAGGTGAAGGACCCACTGATTGTATCGCATTGGAATGCACTCAACTCTCCCACACAGTCTTGTGTGAAAATCAATATCATGACACATGGCTATGACTCAGTCTATAGGACACCATTGGTTGTGCATGTTGGGGAGAAGGCCCTGAAATGTGTGTGCCGGGATGGACGAGTTATGCACATGTCATACGAACCACAGGAGCTACGAGACCTCGTCTTTTGTCAGGTCAGACAGCTTGCTATATTAACAAGATAATGTGTGGAAAATCAATTCAGTATGCGTCTTCTTGTTTGGATTAATTTTAAATCAGTACATAGTAAAACTTTCATTAATAAAAATTAAATTAATGTCAGAATAAAGTACAAATTAAACTCAGGAAATGTCTGTTTTTATTCAGTTCAGAATGCTTTTGTCTTAATGTCACTTGTAAACCCATAAAACTACAATTTGATCTGTTTCTTCTTAAAACGAATGTGGATTTCAATCTCCTAGTTAGAGAATTACATAATAAGAAGCTTCACAGTTTTCTCTCTTCACCTTGTATTGTCAACTAATGCTACGATAGTAAAACCCAGTGGTTTAACTTTGCTAATACCGGAATTGGCCTTTGGACACTTGAGCCATTTCTTTCTACGTTTATCCACACAAACTCGTTCCCTAAGATCCATCTTAATAGTGTCCAGAATCCAGAAATACAATTTAAAGCAAAAAGCCTCTTAAGACAATACACTTAACAGTATATTATGTTAAAATATTTTTATACCTACCACTCATCTCTGATCTCTCCTGTGGAAAGTGGGCAGCCATATTAGTGGAACCTTGCTAGAATCCTACCATTTCCTTGGTATTGCAAATAGTTACTTTTTGAGAGGTTCAAAATTTTGTAAACATAACAGAAACTTCAGGGTTTATACTCTTCTCGTAGAACTGAGGAAGGTTATGAAAACGTATCGGAACATGACAGCAAGGAGGGTGGACAATAATATTAAATTTAAATAATACTGATTCATGGATTGAGAATTTGTGAATATTAGGGAATATTGATTATGGATATCAAATCTAAAACTTCTTGACGATGGTGAAGAGTCAATTGAATAAAAATTTCCTTGGATATTATCCATCGTCTAGTAAATATAAAACGTAAAACGACGTTTCGGAGATGGGACTCTATCTCCGTCTTCAGGTTCCTACACAGTTGGGCCCACTAGATAGAGCTAATCCCTATCTCCAGAGATCGGGATCCCATCTCCGAAACGTCGTTTTACGTTTTATATTTACTAGACGATGGATAATATCCAAGTAAATTTTTATTCAATTAGCCATATATACTTGTAGATGATCAACAATTGCCCCAAAAAATACGCTCATGCCATGGTCTTCTTACACCGACGAGGTAATGAATTCTTTCCCCAAAGACGAGAACTTGCTCCTAAAGAAGTTCAGTACTGCCGTTTGGAAGTGAGGGGTAATCTTTTAAATTGGCCATGACGCAGATGCTATAGGGCTTTATATAAATTCATTGTACCAAGAAAGTAGTTACTATATCTTGTTTTGAACTTTGTGCAGTTTCCTTATTAGTGGATGGATATGGGTTTTCAGATTTACCAACATCAGATTACTGCAGTGCAGGGACTAGCCAAGTGCATGGGTTGGCAGTACCTAGCGAACAGCACACATCTTGGGCTTGGGGCTGTGGAGCCACTGGGCAATGCCAGCAGCTGTATTCTGGCTTCTCCGATAGGTGACCGGTGAGTCCCACAGAGTGTGGTGGCATGATTGTTTTATTTATATTTATTCCTGAAATTGTGGGTTTGCATTCTACTCGTGGCTTTTCATGCAGTTATTATTTTGTCAGCATCATAATTCTGAACATCACAGTTCAGTGGTTATCATTCTTGCTTTGTATTCAGGGGTCCAGGTTTGAATCTCGACTCTGAGATTGGATATCCTGAGTGAGGATTTTCATGATATTTCATGGTTCCTCCAGGTAAATGATGGAATAATATAAGAAAGGCATTGACTGTGTCCTGTCTTTTATTTCTACTTCATCATTTCTCTTTACAGTAAATGTACTGTTTGGGTCTGTGTAACCTTTGCAGTTGAAGACGTATAACTGAATAACAAAAACAGTCATCATTATTTATAGTTTCATGTATCTTGTATATATATTCAAGTACCTTTACAGCTCATGAGCCGGGATAGCTCAGTCAGTATAGTGACTAGCTACGGGCTGGACGGCCGGGGTTCGATCCCCGACGGGGGCAGAGGATTTTTCCTCTAGCCTCTGCGTCCAGACCGGCTCTGGGGCCCACCCAGCCTCCTCTACAATGGGTACCGGGGTCCTTTCCCGGGGGTAAAGCCGGCCGGGGCGTGATGCTGACCACTCACCCCCATCTAGTGCCGAGGTCAAGGAAGAGAGGAGCTATACCTCCTCTCCCCCAAGTGCCTACATGGCGTATAGTGGGACAAACTTTACTTTACTTACTTTACCTTTACAGCTCAGAGGAATCTCATGTCCTCTCTTCCCAGTATTCATTTACAAGGCCTCTTGCTTCCATTGTTCTACACAATTTACCCATCTTTTCCTAGCTCTACAACATGCTTACCTTTTTGCAGGAATCCATTTAAAAACTATTTTGCCTGCCTTGTTTGAGGCAGTTGCAGAAGATAACTGTACTGTATTAATATTAATTCTTTGGAATTGAAGGTTGTCTGAATAATATTTATAAATTCAGCTCATACATCGAAGAAAACACGACCCATTACGATTATAAAGATTCATTGCTTAATGCTGTTTACGGACGTAATCACTGTTTGCAGTGAGAGCTATATTAAGCCATTAAATTTCAAAATGCAGCTGTACTGATTATTAAATCAGGTGGTACATAATGTTACCTCAGGACTTTAGAGGTTAACTTTCCTGTTTTGATTGCATTAACAATGACCTTCACTCTTATCTGTCAAATTTCTGTGTTCATAATATGTTACTTTTGTGGCATGTGATCTGTTCAACCTTCCTCTTCCTATCTGCCTGCCTTGGTGACGATTAAGAAGTTAATTTTTTAAACTGGTGTGCCAGTGAGTTGGACTATGTTACTTCAGATAATAGAAAGTTGATGAGGGTGATGGTTGACATAGGGGAACTACAGCTTTACATGGATTCTGATGGGCTGGTAATCGTCTTATTCTGAAATTTTTATGTTTCCTTTTGAGGGTCGGGGGGGAGGCATTATTTTTGTTTGCCTAAGTTTGATATTAAGCATGGCTGTTCGTAACATTTGTGTTGTTAACTGGCTTTGATAGTTAATCTTCAGGTGAAATTACCTGTTTTTGTGGCGACTGGAACTTTGTTAACAAAAGCCTGGGATTGGACCTTGTTCTAAGGCCATTTGACTATTTGTGTAATTTTCTCAATGGACATAGTATGTCACTCACATATTATCCTCCTTGATTTAGTCAGTCTTAGCATTAAGAGAAGAGTAGAAATTATGTGGATCCTCACTGTGTAATTTTCTCCAATTTTCTTTCACTAGATTCAAGTATTCTCCTCTACGTTTTATTCTCAGTCTTTTGTGCTGTTGTATTGCAGAATTATTGCAGTGCGTTGCGAGCCACAAACTGGCGTCCAAGTTGCCATTGCACAGTCACCACGTAAGGACTTCTTTCCAGGTCAGCTGGTCAAAGAGCGGAAATGGGAAAATCTTGGCGGGAGTTTCAAGGAAGTTCGATGGGACAAAATGGAGGGAAAGAATTTTCTTAACAAGATGGAACTCTTGATGTCAAGCTTGACAAGTTCACAGTGAGCTCATTTGCAAGGCACAAATTTGTGTGGTACCAGGCGAATAGCAGGTGTTGCACGGAGATTTAAAGATATGATCTGTATATATCTGAAAACTTTGGTCACAGGAGTTTGATTACGTAACTACTGTGGTTATAACACCGTTATGTGATCATATATATTTATATGTGAATAAGTTCAGGAGTCTTTTGGTATGAATCGTTTGGAGTTAAAAACATAAAACTTCATTTGCTGTTCCAGAAGAACACATCAAAGTGTTCAGATCTCACCTTTTGCTTCCAGCCACTTTTTTTTAGGAAAATAGCATTTTACTAGAATAACAACTCATAGGTAGTCCTCATACCAGATTGATTTAAAAACTGGAGTATATGTGAGTACCATTTGAAGTATTAGCTCCAGTCATCACCATTACTAAAACTGGCCATGTGTCGCACTAGCATGCTGCTAGACTGGGTAACCCAGGAGTTAAAATCTGACTGACAGCCCCATAGTACGTGTGTTTAAATCACATATTCCCATATGATAACAGTTAATTTGAATAAAATTATTATTTTTCACCCTCAGACATTATTAAGCTGTGAAACATCTTTAAATCCAAATATGCCATAAGATTAGGACCCCTTCAGTGTTTCAGAATACTAGAACACTTGTTTTCGTAGTGTAATGACAGAAATAAACTGATAGTATTAGTTTGTACACCACATCTACGTACAGAGAATTAAAGGACAGAAACGTAGATTGTCCCTAGAATAGACATTACAAGTAAATGTACTATTTGGGCATTACAGTATGAGGATCATCCACAGCCCATGTATGTATTCATGTTGATATTTAAAGAGTTGAAGTCCACACATTGTAGGTTGTAGAAACTAAATGTTATAAACTGAAAATGCTCTCCATATGTATGTTAACTGGAAGTTTAAAAGAATTTGTCTTGAAATAAGGTGGGACTGACACCTTATCATCTGATTAGATCTGTAACACTGGGTCTGAGCACAAGCTGTGAAGAGGTACAGGGGAATGGAGGTAAAGCTGTATGTATATTTAACCTTGTCTTGCTTCAAGTGCTTTCCCCAAGTGAAAGAGTCCCCCGTATCGAACCGGAGGTTCAGTGGTCCCTAGAGCTGTTTAAACATTGCAGTAAGGAAAGAATTCTACAGCTTCTATCCAATTTATAACCCATTATTTTTACTGATTGAGCAATCAAAGCTCACAATTAGACCTTTTAATATTTAATTTTTTCTTGTTGCATTTGGTTTGTGGTTCTATAATATTAACAACAATACCTGGGCTGTATCACTGCTGATTTTTTTGTTGAAGTGGAACTTTTATAAGTGAACTTTAAATGCCACCAAATTTCAGAAATATTTTAGATTGTGTTGGATTGAATATTCACCACTGAATTGTTTAGTTAAAAGAATTTAAATTGGTAGGGAAGGTACAGTAATAATAAGGAAAATGCATAGTAAGTAAGTAGAGTTAATGGAGGCAGCTATTTAAGGACTGAGGCCGCAAAAACCCGGTGCTAGATGACCACTGCTCACTGAATGAAGAACTCAACCAAATAAACTTGAACTTGATATTATTTTCCAAGGGGATATGGTTTGGTGGTCCCTCGCCATAGCCGCGCGGTCTTAGGCATCATGCTTCAGACCGGTGATGCGGAATGCGCGCTGGTTCGAGTCTCAGGGAAAGACATTTCTCATGAGATTTTCGACCGGTGCCAACCCAGCATCGTGAGGAAATTGGGGAGCTACAATGGGTAGCATAATCTGGTCATGAAAACTAGCAATGGCTGCGGGTTCGTTGTGCTGACCGCACATCACTCTATATCTGGTTGGATGATCGTTCACCTCTGCTTAGGCACGTGAACGTGAGGCCAGCAGCCAGCTAGTCGGCTTTGGCTCTCAGAGGGCTGTTACGCCACGGATTATTATTATATATGGTTTGGTGAAGAAAAATATACTACAGTACTTCCATAATATACAAATGTATTTTCTCTGAATAATTCCACGCCATGATACTACAATATAAAATGTGTTTGTGAAGTTTGGGAATCACTTTCTATAAGTAGTAGATTCAACAGTTGGTGAACTTCTGTGTGGAATTTCAATTATAATGGAACATGAACATGAAAATATAGTGGCTTACATTTGGGAGACTTGAACAGAACACATAACGTGTAGCTGCTAAAATAAATTATTAGTGACTCAGTATAACAAAAAACAAAACAGTCTAATATACATTTACATAGATACAGAGTCTATATCTTGGACCCATTTCAAAATATGTTTTATATAAAAACTGTGTTGTTACTCCATCATTGGACACTTTCTGATTATATTCCCAAGAGAGCGCTTCATGGTCGGACGATTCCAACGTATGAAGCGCCACCACGCCCCGTTAAGGATCAAGGACAGAGGAGGAGGCTTACATACATTCCCTTTTGACAGCTGACATTTGCATTGTTTTTTTTTTCTTGTGCTGTCATAGAAACTAATCTGTAGAAGCTTACTGTCGTTCTCAACATCACATCACAACCCACAATAATGCTGCATAACTTTTACTGATTAAGGCTGGTCATGCATCGCAGTAGCATACCAGTAAATAGTAAAATCGTGGAGAAAGTCTGGGTGGCAGTCCTTTAGTGTAGGGGTTCAAATCCTCTGTTCCCATGCAATAAGTTTAATGGTGAAAAGTGCCATAAAGAATTTCAGTGTGTGAAGATAGTGGGGTAAGAGTCATAGCTGGAAGAGGTTAAAAACCACTACACCGGACCTTTGCTTACATTTTAAATATGCAACGAGTTGTCATTATGCACTAAATGTTTATATGTTGCATTTCTTAGTACATGGGTTTATTTCATGTCTAAAAATTTTCATGCAGTGATTGGCAGGATTTTCAGGTATGTCCCCCCACATGTCATGATACAGGATCAGATTGTTATTGAATATTGAGACAACTGACATGTTTGTTGTCAGCAAATCATGCCACAAGACTCAGCCATCGTCCACAAAATAAATGTATCTTAAGAAACCACCTTGAAACAATGGGCATTTTCCAAAACAGCATGGAAACAACTTTACTGTACCACCTGCACCAATTTCGTTTTTACTCCACATTTATCATCAAACTTTGACTGGTAACGTAATACACATTATGGTATTGTATGTCTGCATTTTTATGGCATCACAGAAACTTTATGTGATATCAGATAGATGCATTGTTCTTCCAAAACTTCTGTTAGTTCACAGTAATCTCCTTAATGAACACATCTCCTTGAATGTACATTGTATTTACTGTATGAAGTGAAGAAAGGTAACGATAAGTACCCAGTTGAACACCGTCCACTGTAACTGAATATTCATCCCGTCTGCACAGAATTTTTATCGAAAATGGTCGACCAGGTCTGAAAAGGAGGGGGAATTTCTGTTCAGTGCCCCATTTACCCTTGGACCAGGAGTTCATTATAACCCCACACTCAGCACTCGTGTAGAAGCGAGGGTTAATATGCAGCATGATGTCCGGATGGGGCCACATATGCATGGCATCTTGTATGTTCACAAAGAAACTGAAACAAATGGACATGGAAACATGAATTTATCAGTATTTTTTTTATTGTTTGGAATTCGAACAGTTTTCAAATGTTTTCTTTGTGATTTTCCAATTGTCACTCATCTTAATTTTGATCTTAATGTATATTTATTGTAAATAAATAAATAAAATCGACAGTAGAAATATGTATTTCATTGCATAAACCTAAATTAAATTTTGCATCAATTATATTAAATATAATTAATACAAAACAAAGTTTTCCATAACTTCTGTAGATTCTGATGACTGTACTTTGTGTCATATAGACACTGTCTGCATTATGAGCCATTTTTTGAGAAATCTTGGGGTGGATGTCATGTGCAGCGTGTATGGAAAAAGCACAGATTACATAAGAATTTTTACTGGAAACGTTCAGAGAAAACAATCTCTCAGAAGCACGAGTTATATATAAATGTGAAAATATTAGAATGGATTTTAAAGAAATATACTTGTTGTATAAATGGGATTAAGGTATCGTGAAAGAAGCTGCAATTGCATGCTCTAGACGGGCCTTAGTGTTCCATAATAATAGAGAACGTTAGAAAAACTGACTGCAGTTTTGTTGACAAAAATGAATTTAGCGTAGAAGTGAAGGTGTCAGTCTGTTGTCCAACTTATATTGAAATAACAACATGTAATTGTGATTCATGGAAATTAAAAGCTGAACATAACCACAATTACAATCAATATAAATGTGATATTTAAACAACTGAAAGATAACTATGAAATTAGTAATCAGGAAGAATTATTTTAGATGTAAACCACTAAAATAAATTATTTATAAATAAGATGGTTGTAACATACATAAGGCATTAAGAATGAAAGATATTGTGACCAAGTATTGGAGACAAGACAACAAAGAAGACCCAGACTAAGAAAAGGATATTCAGAAAATGCTGAGTAGGAATAGGACTGAATGAGACAATAACATGGTCAGAAGACTGAGATTTGGCAAGCTCTTTGCAGCATCTCTAGGCAATTACGTAGAAGAGAATCAGTTACATAAGTAATTAAAAAAAATACTTTCAACTTACGAATGAGGCAAGAGCTTTATCCGTCCAACTATCTCTAGCTCTTGACCTATAAGCAGTCCCATTGGTAAATTACCCAAAACTGGTAAAACCTGTTGACATAAAATTAAATGAGTTTCATAAGCCTAGATATATAAATAATCAACCAACCAACCAACCAAAAAGCTAACTGAGGGCGGAGTCCTGCGTAAGCGCAAGCATCGTCCCTACCTAGGTGAAACCATTCCTGTGCACAAGGCGCATTGCTGGAAATGGTAAACGGTCTTAATATAAAAAACGGAAATTTTGCTGACGCTAACAGGGTTACGCCGTGGCTGGAGCCTCGACCATTCAAACTGGTATCTGTTGCTGCTGATGGGAGGTTATCCCATCAGGCAAGTTGTCCAAAGGAATTTGGTTGGTTGGATCTCCGGGGTTTGAACCCAGAGAGGGAGGGGCCGTTTCGGCTGAAGGCCTCTGCAGCATGGGGGGAGATCACTTCAGCTGATGGCCTCCGTGATCGGGGGTGGGGGCGTGGCGGGCCGTGCCCCTATTAAGTTATACCCTGAGATATATAAATAATGCAGACATAAAAAGTTTATATACTTCATACAAACTTGTCAGAGACGCAGATTGAACGATAAAAGTAAAATACAGAACGGTTCATTCAAAGTTTAAACAAACTGAAGGCAACTTATATAACTAATACTTGACTGATTCCTAATTTATTTTATAGTACTGTTCCAACTGAAGAGGTTACGATGTAGCTTCAAATGAGATAATTGGCATCACGGCATAGCAGGAACATAACTTCTGGTTATATGACAGTCAGTTTATTCATCTTAGAAACTAACCTTTAGTGAAATATATATTATTTAAATGTTAATTATTGTAATATTTTAATATTTAATAAGAATTTATTGTGATTAGACGGACAAGATTTAAATAATATATATTTATTATATCACAATATGACGCAACTTTACCATTTAGTGAAATAATTTACTCTTCCAAAAGGAAAACCTTCAATGAAATAACAAGTCATTCATGTTTAAAGTGTACACTAGGCAAATACTGAATTTTATACTTTAAGTGTGCGACAACTTAGTGTTGATGATCAGGTATTGTCTTCTGTTAACTGTTTCAAGTGTTGATTAATAATTATAGTGCTAAAAATGTATAAAGCTCAGTCCATTAGAATTCCGTATATTCATACTGCCAGAGGGTGGAGATGGCTGGCTTCTGGGATGCTGCACCATATAGTATGTAGATGTAAGACTTGAGGTTCTCACAGCGGTGAGTATGAAGATATCCGTCTTCTGGGTTATTGCGCTGTGTAGTCTGGTCGATGTTAACCAACGTTTCAGAGGTCATACTGCCTCCGTCATCAGGGCGATGAGTATGACCTCTGAAACGTTGGTAAACATCGACCAGACTACACGGCACAACAACTCAGAAGACAGAAATCTTCATACTCTGATGATGGAGGCAGTATGACCTCTGAAACGTTGGTAAACATCGACCAGACTACATAGCGCAACAACCCAGAAGACAGAAATCTTCATACTCTGATGATGGAGGCAGTATGACCTCTGAAACGTTGGTAAACATCGACCAGACTACATAGCGCAACAACCCAGAAGACAGAAATCTTCATACTCTGATGATGGAGGCAGTATGACCTCTGAAACGTTGGTAAACATCGACCAGACTACATAGCGCAACAACCCAGAAGACAGAAATCTTCATACTCTGATGATGGAGGCAGTATGACCTCTGAAACGTTGGTAAACATCGACCAGACTACACAGCGCAATAACCCAGAAGACGGATATCTAGTCTGTAGATAATGACCAATGTTTCAGAGGAGGTTACTGCCTTCATCATCTGGATGATATGATGATGGAGGCAGTATGCTCATTTGAAATGTAAATCAGTATTAACCAAACTACATGGTACGACCTCCCAGATGACAACCATCTTCATACTCATCACTGTGAGAACCTCAGACCTAAGCCTTGTTTCAAAAATTTTATTTTTTTAAATTTTAATGTCACAGGTTGCCAGTAAGGATTTGAGCAAACCACAGAAGACTTACTCCCAGAAAACAAACGAGCACTAACCACCAGACTATGGCATTCCATTGTTATCTAAGACAAGAAGTGACATGGCAGGCACTTACCACATTATCCTTGATGCTGTTGGAGAGTGGCATGGTATGTGAAATAATAACAGCTGGGTCTTGCATGCGTGGTCGTATTTCAGGATAAATATTAGTCATGTGATAGTCAAGTGAATTCACAATGACATCTCCGTGGATCTGTACTGTCTGGATTCTCATCCGCAAAGTTCGATAATCGTAAGAACAGAAATGATAATTATTCACTGCCACCTACAATATAATGATTTGTCTCAATAAATAATGCTTTTAAGCATGAAGCAACAGAGAAAATAAAATTACATATATAAGAGATTTTACAAATATTACAATCTGCCATACCTAATTTTATTAAATAATTCAGGATTATAAAGTGTATAGCATGTAGCACGAATGCAAGGAGTAAGAAATGCATACGATAGAAAACCTTGAAGGGGAGCGATCACACCAGAGACCCAGATATAAATGGTAGGATAACATTAAACTAGATCTTAAGTATGTTGTGACTACATGAACTGGAATAAACTGGCTCGGGATACGGTTATAAGATGTGGGTTTTGTGAACAAAATGATGAAATTTCAGTTTCCTTAACAAGGACATTTTTTTGTATAGCTGATGAACTATCAACTGTGCAAGTAAGACTAGGTGGAGATGTTATTTTAACAGATTCTTATCACAGTGAATATTTACTCATGACTTAGTATTAATGTACAGTCTGTTAGAGTATTTAATTTTTACTATAATTCGAACAAACATACATGTAATATCTGCATGCAA